GGGGGGGGGGGGAACCTGCCTACCATGGGCCATTTTCTGGCATGTGATACACTGCAGGCCCTCATTGGATGAGGATGTTGAAAGCTACTGCCTGTTTGAGATTACATAGTCCTTAGGCTTGGACAGGGAAATGAATGGCTTTGTTATAGAAGAAGTCCAGACAGCTGTCAGCTCTCACCTGTCAGTTCACTGACCACCACTGCTGTACCTTATGGGGCATAAGGTACCCAGTGTATAGGTGATCTACATAAACATTTCTGGATACAAATGTCAGTTTTGACCCAAACCTGCTGCATAGGTCTATCTACCCTTTACATTTTTAGCAACTCTTGAAACCAACCCACATAGGACTCAGTTGCTGGCAATTTAAAGGCACCCCTTTACAAAGAAAGCTTGAAAGGCCAATTTATACACTTGAATATATGGCAACTGTCTCAGATTCCATTAGGGGTTCAAAAGTAACATAGATGTGGACAGTTCCCGGCTTTGTAGCTCACTCCCAGGGCTCATCTCCCTACATGGGATCTGATGTAGTTCAGGATGGGGAGGTCTCTTAACACAGAGTAGGCTGAAGACCTGGAATATTGCAGCTGACATTGACTGTCTGGCAATAGGTTGCTCAGTAAGGCTGTTTCCATCTGCCCTAGATCAGTGAGCAGCCAACCCACCATGTGGTATGGTTACCATCTCTTGGTGACCACTCCCAACTCCTCACCAACAAAACTATACTACCACTATACCTAGAGCTACCCCACAGGGAGGAGTGGACACATTCTTTTCCTCCTAGAGCCCAGAATTAAATAGACACACATTGCTTAAGGCACTTTAAATCCTTATGGGAAAATAAGTTGTTTCAGCTCAGTAAAAATGGAAAATTGGGGGGGAATTGGAATATATGCATACTTAAATTTTAGTACCTGTTACAGTTCTAGAGTCTCTAGTCATTTTGTTAATTTAGGTACATAAAAATGTGTTAATACTTTCATTTACTCATACAGTGGTTATGACTGGTATGTTCAGTTTTGCAGCCTGAAAAGTTTATTAGAAGTGCTTTGATTCAGTTATTTTTTTGTTAATCCTCGCCTGAAAATATTTTTCCATTGCTTTTTCAGAGAAAGTAGAAAGGAGGGAGGGGGGATAGAGAGGGAGAGAGAAACATCCATGTATGAGAGACACATCGACTGGTTGCCTTCCGCACTTGCCCTGACCCAGGGGGGGAGCGAATCCACAATTGAGGTAGGTGCCCTTGAACAGGAATTGAACCCGAGACCCTTTGGTGTGCAGGCGGATGCTTTAGCTACTGAGCCACACCAGCCAGGGCTTGATTCACTTAAGTGTTTGTAGATTGTGTGACAGATGTCTTTGCTGCTTTATGAGAAGCAGATTTGCAACTCCAAACCCTCCAGCTTTCTCCTCCTCCCTTCCATTCTGGCATTTTGATGCAAGAGAGGCAACAATCACTATGTTTCCAAACACTCTGAGCATAAAGTTGTTCCCCTTTCCAAAGACCAGAAAGAGATCCACCTGTCAAGAGTCAATCAATCATATTAATTCTGTTTGAAAAATGGCAATGCCTGCAAAGGCTAAAATATAGCATGCTTCTTCCTGTTTGTGAGAAGACACTGCCCAATTTGTCCTCACTGGGCAGAAATTACTTAGTGGTGTATTGGAGCTGGCTTACACTGGCTTGAGAGAGACTGTGCATATCTCTTCTTAAATGTCATGTTGGTAGCTTGACATTGACTGAGATGGGAGTATTTACACCACAAAAATAGTCAAATACTACAAATAACAGCATTTTTTCCAGAAATTCACTTGGTAAATATTTTTCAGTTAAAAACTAATTATAGTAATTAGTGTAGTATAGTAGTGAGAATTTTGCATAAAAATCTCACTATTTCATAGATTTTAGAAATTGTTTTGGGGTGGGGAGATTGAGAGAAGGCCAGAGAACAAAATATAGATTATTTTAGAGTCACCCTACTCTGTATTGTATACTTTTTGGCACTTTCACACTGAATACTTATAGTAGTTCTATGAAATCAAACATTTTAAATATTTTGATTTTATTGTCATACAAATTAGTTTAATTTTTCTTGAAGAAAATTATAGAAGGGGACTTGAAAAAAATATGTTTTCTGTTGTATATTCATGTTTTATTCTTTCTATCTTTAGGTAGAATTGCCAAATTTGTCCTGATCATGGCCCTATATAGATACCTCCTAGTAGATGAGAAATTGCCCAACTCATACAAAACTGAAATTTCTTAAGCAACAATTATCAAGCAAACAGTCCTATATTTTTTCATTGCCCCTCCCCATGCTAGCTTCTGTTTTTCTAATCATGTATATTTTAGAGCTCACTATTGAGTTATAGATGTGAGGTTGCTTCCCTTTATCTATAGATAGATTAGATAGAATTGATAAATCAGTTCTATAGATAAAATTGAATGTGGTCTTAATAAACTAGAAATTATTGACTACCTAATACTAGCTCAAACTTATTAGCACTTACTACATACCAGATACTATGCTAAGCTCTTTACCTACATTATTTACAGTTTACATCAACCCCAACAAGGGCCAGTGTTTAAATTATAACATGCTTAAGGATGACTCTGCTAAGTGATCTCAGTTTAAGGGAAATGACACTGTGTTGGTACTCTGCACCCCTCAGTGGACTCAGTTGTCCCTTGGATGTTACAGCTTGCCTTGCACTGTGCTAGTTGCTAAAGGGATGCTAAAGAGGGCCTGCTACAGCCTTGATTGGGGGACAGTAGCTAAGACATAGAACTATATCTTATTCCTTTCTCATGATACTCAAAGTATAATAAGTGCTTGATATGTGCAGACTAGAGAGCATTCAGATACAAAACTCTTGGTGCTAACACTCAAGTTTTAAGTGTGCAGAGAGAAGTGTGAATTGTAATGATTGGTCAGAAACTGGACTTGAGGCAAGCCTTGAAGTTTAGAAACCTTTCTAATAGGCAGGGCCAGCAGTATTAAGTACACAAATAGGTTATACCATTTCAGAGTTAAAAAGAACCCTAGTTCAGCATTTCCCCAGTGTGTTTTGCCAGACATTCTGCTTGCATGCATTAGGGAGACAATATTTTTGTTCAGTTTCTTGGACAATATTTTTGTTCAGTTTCACCGTATACATAGGCATGTTGAAGTTTCAGGAAAATCTTGCTGGAAAGCAGACCCCTAAACTTTGTCTTATCCAGTGTCTCCCAGGTACTGGACTGTAGACCCCTTTTTCATGCAACAGACCCATAAGTATCCCTCTGAACACACTTTGGGAGATGCTGATTAGTGTGATCCCCTCATTTTCCTGCTAAGTGCCAGAGCGGCTGAGTGATTTACCCAAGGTCACAGAGCTAATTGACAGCAGATCCAAGCCAAGAATTCCAGAGTTTTCTAACTCTTGGGAAGTGCTTTCCATTAAGCCACCAAGCCTTTGTAATGCCAACTCCACTGGCAACTTCCTTGGTGAGTCCTTCACTGCCAGCACATCATTGCTGTGCTGGCAAGAGGACTTCCAGGGACCAGACTTGGGAATTGCAGTGAGACACCTGGGTTAGTAAATCATTGCATGTGAAAGCAATAAGAGCTAATTCCTTCCCTCTGAAGAATGTAGCACAAACTCCCCTCCCGTTTCCTCCCTTCTATGGAGCCCCAATAAAGACATATGTGCTTATTAGGAAACTAAAGAATGCCTAAATAGAGTCTAAAGAGCATTTAAAACTCACATTCCTCACTGCTGTCCTGGTAGTTATTATAGATAGAACAACCTTTCAGTTATTTGCATGTGCAGAGGGCAGCAGCCCTATAGATAATCCAAACCAATCAGCAGTAATTGAAGAACACACACAATGCATGTAATACACACGCATGCAAACACATGCACGCCCCTTGCAAAACCCTTTGGTATCCAATTTTGTCATGCTTTTTGCACAGTCAGCTTTTCTTCTTTCTGATTCCAAGCCTTCTCCCTTGTTCATAAATTCCTTCCTCAAGGAAGTCTTCCCTGACTGCATCAACTGACCACATTCATTCTTTGGGTCTGCATCGTTTGAGCACACAGGCTAGGCAATATCAACTCCCACATAGATTTCTAAGGGTCCCGAAGCCCTGGGCAGTACCAACTCCCACTTGGATTCCACATGTGGAATCTTAGCTCCTCAACTGGATTGTGATGATTCCAGCCACCGGGGTGGAGTGTAGGGGGTAACAAGTGCTTATTTTAGCTCAATAATTGCTGCATATGAATGAACTTCTTAGGGCCAGAAAAGGGATGTATATTAATAGTTGACATTGAGAGAAAAGTGAATGCCTAGTGAATTGGGCCTGAACAGAGGCTGCCCAAACACCACACACAAGCTGGGGCCTGAGCTTCTGCTCTCATCAGCAAATCAGATACTTTGTCACTGAGTTATTAAGAAGAGACCATTCACAGACAGTATTGCTCAGTGGTTGAGCCTCGACCCCATGCATAAAGTGGTTACCAGTTGGATTCCCAGTCAGGGCACATGCCCGGGTTTGGGGCTTGATTCCCAGTAGAGGCATTCAGGAAGCAGCCGAGTAATGTTTCTCTCTCTCTCTCCCTAAAATCAACAAAAATGTATGTTTAAAAAAAAGAAGAGAACAAACCAAATGAATGGTGCTGTGGTCCCTGGGAGCAAGGGCCAAGATCTGCAGGGCACCTGAGATCATAGTGCTTCTTCATGTCACAAAGACCCTGCTTCCTCTCCTGTCTTCCCATCCACCATCACACTCTGTCTCACTTTTCATTCCTAACTTCCAGGAAAGAAGAAATCCAAATTTAAAGCCTTAAAGAGTTTTTTTGGCAAGAAGAAAAGAAAAGAGCCTGAAGGTGCCCAGGGAGGGAGGAGCAGCCTGAAACAAAGCTCGTCCAGCAGCAGCATTAACAACTCTTCTCTGAATCTGGTTCAGGAAGGTCAACAACCTAAGTTAAGGTAAGCTCACAGGGTAGTGTGAGGGGTTTGGTGGGGGATGGGGACAGAGTAAGGGGCAGATTGCTAGATCCAGGTCCTCCTTTGGTAGCCAATCACCGGTGGGCCTTTGGTTCCAGGGACTTTTGCCCTCCATGCTTGTGGGGGCTGGGTCGGGGGCCATTGCCAATGCAGCCATTTCCCAGTGGCCTGTCTCTGTGCTCATGTGTAGACATGTCATCTGGGCCACACAGCTCAGTGGGTTGGAACATGGTAAACGCACTCCCCGTTCCCCAAGAGCTTTTGGTGGAGGGTGCAGTAGTAGATCAGGTAAACCCTTCCCTGTCTTAGCCACAAGAACTTGTATTTTGTAAGGTAAGGATAGCCTATATCATTCAGGAAGCTTGGTCTGGCTTGCTTGCCTGGCCCTCAGACTGCAGCTCTGTGATTACTGGGTGAGGGGAACTAGATCTCAGAATGTGTGAATAAAGTCTCAGTGAAGCCATATACCTGGGTTGGGACATAAGTGTGAAGTCACTGTATTAATGTAAAAATGAACAAATAAATAAGCAAGCAAAGAACCCAAAACCATTTCTCCCTCCATCCCAGGAGACTAGGGGAAATGGTGCATCTGGTCACAGAAGGGATGGTAAAGACTGTTTCTGCCACTACCACCCCTATTTAAAATTTCATCTGTGATGCTCCAATTTCTGTATCTTATTGTGGAAAATCTGGACTCTCAGTACCACCAGCTATTCCTGGCTCAGTCGGATCCCCCTCTATGGAGTTCCACCAGGGACTGTTCTCCTGACCTTAAACTCTAGACTTATCTGGACTCCCCACAGAGCTCACCTATGCTGCTCCCCATTATCTAAAGTCTTTGTTTGGTGGTGATGGGACAGTTAGCAAACATATTATACTATCCCCTAACAGCACATAGGTCTCTTTAAGGGGGACATTAATGCGTGCATTGAATGTGAGGAATTTCAGATAGCTTTGTCAGTGGGAGAGATGGTTTTGGACAGGGGTTTGTTTCATACCTCACAAATCATACCATTACAGACCATTACCTTATAGCTCTAAATAAGGCTAAGACTAGCCCTGCTAAAAACTTCAGGGTGGGGTGGGGAGGGGAGGGGCATTTGGATTTACTCTGTGTTGTCTCTACAAATTGGCAAGGGCTCTCTCCACTAAAATTGTATATTTCCCCTTCTTACTTGCCCCTCCCCCCTCTAAAATGGCTCGTTTAGTCTGCTGCATTTCTCCACACTAAGAAAGTGTGTGCATGTGCACCTGTCTGAGGTGGGTGGGGAAAGGAGGGAAGGAACATGAGAATGAGAGGGAGAGGCAGTGCGTATAAGAGCATGTTGCCTTCACCACCAGGGCCAATGAGTAGCAGAGCTTTATAGGGAAAAGGTGGGTAGGAGTTTAGTACAAAGTGGCCCACAAGCCACCTTAGCATGGTGCCATTTGAATCTTCATGGCACCACACTGCCCTCAGAGTGTGTCATGATCAGATGTGTATGTCCTGTAGCCAGACAGGCTCACAATGACAGAGTGGGTGCTAGCCCTACAGTGCCTGAGGTGCTACTTTAGTTATCATTGTTTTTTAAAGTGCCAGCCTATGTGTACTGTTTTGTAATAAAGGTAATAAGTGCAAAAAAAATATTTGAAAAAATTTTAACTATTTTATCCAATTTTAAAATATTTCAATCCCTCCCTAAAAGAAACTCTGTACTGATCAGCAGTTAATCCCCATTATCCCCTACCCCCACTCCAGCCCTAGGTGAGCACTTATGTATTTTCTGCCTCTATAAATTTGCTTATTCTGGATTTTATGTAAGTGGAATCATACTACTTGTAGCCTTTTGTGACTGGTTTGTTTCCCTTAGCATGTTTTCAAGGATTACCCATGTTGTATGTAGCATGTATCCTTTTATACTACTGAATAGTAGTATTCCATTGCATGGATATACTACTTTTTATCTGTTCATCAGTTTACAGATATTTGGGTGGTTTCCACCTTTTGGCTATTTTGAAGACTGCTGCTGTGAACATTTATGTAGAAGTTTTTTTGGATATATACTTTTATTTCTCTTGGGTATATACCTAGGAGTTGAGTTGCTGGGTCACATGATAATTTAATGTTTAAATTTTTGAGGCAACACCAGATTGTTTTCCAAAGCAATTGTCACATTTTACATTCCCACCAGCAGTGTATGGAAGTTCCAATTTCTCCACAGCCTTGCCAACCCTTTTATCATCTGAGTTTTTGTTTCTAGCCAAGTGTGAAATGGCATCTCATAATGGTTTGGATTTGTATTTTGCTGCTGACTGACAATATTGAGAATCTTTTCCTGTGCTCATTGGCCATTTGTATGTCTTCTTAGGAGAAATGTTTTTTGGGGATCCTTTGCCCATTTTTAAATTGAATTATTTTATATTATTGAATTATAGGAGTTTCTTATGTATTCTAGAATTGTACATCTAGATGTACAATTTGCAAATATTTTCTCCCATCATGTAGGTTGTCTTTCCCACTTCTTGTTAATATCCTTTGAAGCACAAAAGTACAGTAAACCCTCAATTTTGCAGATCTCAATTTAACAGACTTTGGATTTAATGGACAAAATTTCCAGTCTGTATGTCATATGTGAAAATTAATATCCTGTTAATTTTAAAATGCTTTTAATCAAGATTTGCTCATAATTAAATTAACAGGTTATTTTTTTGTTATGAATTCACTGTTATTTTTAACAAATTTTAGCGAATAAGCCATATATTGGAAAAAACACTGTAAGAATTTCACCAACATAAATAAATATAACATATCTACAACTATAGTCTACATATTTAAATCCAAGCATCACTGCTTGTAAACAATGTCCCAAGAATGATTAGAAAGTGATCACTGCATTTAGAGTGGTAACTGGTTCTGTTGTTGCTTGGTGTGACTTTATGCAGCAGTTTTAACTCCTGCTGGCCAATGTTCCACAAACACTAAGCCATGCCCCAGCCCTGTGCATTTGTTTACTTGCAGTGACTGGTGAACTCACACATTTACTAGACCTATTCAGTATAAACTTAAAATTATTGTAATACATGTAAAAACTTTTTCATGAAATTAAACTTTTCATACATACTCCGTTTTAATTACACAAATGTGTTTACATAAGAAAAATAAGTTAACTAAATTTGTCATTTTTTTAACATACACATTCAGAAAACCTACTTTATTATATAATGGACTTTTGGCTTTAACGGATACCCCCTCACCCAAATTAGTAAGTTATATTGGGGTTTTACTGTATTTAATTTTGATGAAATTCATTTATCTATTTTTTTCTTTTGGCGCTTAAGCTTTTGGTGTCATATCTAAGACTTCATTGCCAAATCCAGGTCATGAACATAGACCTCTGTGTTCTCTTCTAAAAGTTTAAGCTCTCATATTTAGGTCTTTGACCAATTTTGAGTTACTTTTTATATACAGGGTGTCCCCCAAAATGTATATGCACTTTGAATGATTATAAAGTCAGTGCTTATTACCATACAGTTCATTTTCAAAATTTAAAAGAATCTATAGAAATGAATAATATTGTTTGTCAATGCCTGTTTTCAAACTGATGACCACCATAGACCAGGCACTGCTGATAACATGAAGCAATGGAATCACAAACATCAAGAATCATTTCGTTTGATATTTGTATGCCCTCAATTCATCGGCTCTTGACAATTTTATACTATAAACTGTATTATTTATGTATCCCCATTAAAAAAAGTCTAGTGGCACTTTAGGATAATTTTTCTTTGTTCAAAACTTAGCCTGGCTTCACCCATTATTTCAAACCAGTTAAACCTGAAAAGGAGTGAAATTTAAAACAGTTATCAGCTGTTAAAGTGTGTATACATTTTTTGAGACACCCTATATAGTGTGAGATAAGGATCCAATTTTATTCTTTTACATGTGGCTATCCAGTTGTCCCACCACCGTTTGTTGAAAAAGCAATTCTTTCCCCCACTGAATGGTCTTAGCACCTTTGTTAAAATAATTTAACCAGAGGTTGGTGAGTTTATTTCTTGATTCTCAGTTCTATTCCATTGATCTATATGTCTATTCTTAGGCCAATGTTACCTGCCCTGATTACGTAGCTTTGTAGTCAGTTTTGAAATTGGCAAATGTGAGTTTTCCAACTTCTTGTTTTTCAAGATTGTTTTGGCTATTTTTGTTCCCTTGCATTTCACTGTGAATTTTAAGATCAGCTTGTTCATTTCTGAAAAGAAAAAAAAAAAAAGTGTTTAAAGGCAGCTGGAATTTCACTAGGGATTGCATTAAATCTGTACATCAGTTTGTGAAGTAGTGCCATCTTGACAAGATTATTCTTCCAAGCCATCAATATAGGTTGCCTTTCTATTTATTTAGGTCTTCATTAATTTTTTATCAGCGTTTTATAGTTTTCAGAGTATAAGTTTTACATGCCTTTTGTTAAATTTATTCCTAAGTAGTTTATTCTTTTTGATGTTATTGTAAATGAAAGTGTTTTTTTTTCTAAATTTTCAGATTGTTTATTTCAAGCATTTAGAAATACAATCAATTTTTGTATATTGATCTTGTAGCCTGCAACTTTGCGGAACTTGCTTATTAGTTCTAGTAGTTTTTAATGGATTCCTTAGGAGTTTATACACAAGATCAAGTCATCTGTGATTAGAGATAATTGTACTTCTTCCTGTCTAATATGGATGCCTTTTTTTTAACTTCCCTGGTTAGAACCCCCAGTACAATGTTGAATAGAAGTGATAAGAGCAGACATCCTTGTCTTGTTTCTGATCTGAGGGAGAAAGTATCCATTCTTTCATCATTAAGTATGATATTAGCTGTGGGTTTCTCACAGATGTCTTCTGTCAAGGTTGAGTGTCTTTAACATGAAAGGGTATTGTATTTTACAAATGCTTTTTCTGCATCTATTGAAATGATGGTTGGCTTTTGCTTTTATTTTATCGATGTATTACATGAATTTATTTTCATATATTAAAGCAACCTTGCATTCCTTGCAAATTCTACTTGATCATAGCCTTTAATTCTCTTTATATGTTGCTAGATTGTTTGCTAGTATTTTACTGAGGATTTTCGCATCTACATTCATAAGAGATAGTGGTCTATAGTTTTTTACCCCTGTGATGTCTTTGGTTGATTTTTTAAAAGGTAAAATACCTTCCCAAATCCCAAACGGAGTTTTTTGTGCCTTTAGCCTTTCATTTTTATCTAACTTTCTTCTGATTTGTCTTAGCACATAACTTTCATCAACCTGGCCCCATTCCCAATCAGAAGGCATTTCCATCAGGGTTTAGCAAGCTGTGGGTGTGCATGGGGCAGTGGTGGGTGCATAGGATGACTTTGAAAATAAGACAGATGTATTGCAGATCCCTTGTGTGAAAGAGAAAAAAAACTGGTGCATGAAAATCTCCAGCATCTGGGCAGATATTTGATATTTTAAAATAAATAAAAACAAAAACACTAGAGAGAAATTTGGGTATAAGAGGTCTTTTATAACTCTTACCTTAATAATAGTAAGACTCTGGGTCTTCCCTTCTATTCCATGGGGTTGTCGCTATTGAACTGTACACTTTAAATGGGTGAATTGTATGGTATGTAAACCATATCTCAGTGAATATATTATGTAAAAAAGATATGTGTTAATTATTTTAAAAATAAAAATTATACAGAAGTACATCAAGTAGAAAATTATCATCACCTTCTTGTCTCTAGATCCTTTCCTCAGAGGAAACCATCACTAAAGATTTGGTGGCAACCCTTCCAGACATTTTTCTATAAACATAAATGATATATGTATGTAATATATATTCATATATTAAAGGGGACCATACTACTCTTTATTTTTTCATTTATTATCTCATGAACAACTCTCTGTGTCAGTATATATGCATCTTCACCCTCCTTCTGTGATGTCTTTGGTAGGCCATATTATAGATGTACATGTGTCATTGGTTCCTATGGCCCTTGGGCTGCTTTTACAAGACTTTCTCCTTCCCTTCCAGGGTCAAGAGAACCATGAGGAGCAAATCCTTGTCCCATGACAGCATCTTCATGTTGGATTCTGAGTCTGAAAGATCAGAAAGTAAAATATATCCTTCTCCGGAGCCCCAGAGAGGCAGAACTCTGGAGGTAATACTAAACTTGAACATCTGTGCCTAATTGGATTGACTACTCCTCCATTCCCTATTCCTACCCTACCAAAAAAAGAAGGGAGTCATTTGGCCCTATTTCTCAGCTGATTCCACCCCCACAGGGCTGTTGTAAATATTAAATGAGAGAATATACAAATATATGATGTGCTTACTTAGTTCCTGGCACATAGTGTTGGCTGGTGTTACCCCATTCACTTATTTTGACACACTCGAGAATGCTTTAAGTATTATAACAGTGATATTCCACTGTTAATGTGCAAGTGTTCCAACCCCCATGTCTTTTCTCTCTTCCACAGAGATCTCATGTTTCCAGAACTCTGCCTATCACTGGTAGTACGCATAGATCTGTTTCTGGAGCTCTGCTTGAAGTTAAGCCCCATTACGTGCACAGAAGTGGCATCTGGGTTGGAGGATCCAAGATCACTGAGGTAACAGAGTAGAATTGTTAAAAGTATGGCAGCTAAGTCAGATGGACAGACCTGTGCTTGAATTCTTGATCTGCTACTTACTGGCTCTGTAACCTTGGACTGATTTCTTAACTTCTCTGAGCCTTTCTTTCCTCATCTACAATGGGTATGATATTAATATCTACCTCAAAGGGTTGCTTGTGAGGATTGATAAAGACTCATAGGTGTTCAAGAAGTTGCTCAAGTTCTCCCAGATAGTAAGTGACAGACCTGGAAAACTGACCCAGTTGTGTTGACTTTAAAACCCATGGTCTTTCCATTACCACAGTCTCTAAGATGCACAACTTCTTTGTACCTGCTTCAATGGGGAGAGGGGTACACCTTTAGTCTCCATAAAATGCAGCATGTGCATAGGTCAGTCTTACCTCCAGCTAATCCTAACCATTGCTCAGTCAGAAATTTCTGGAGCTCTGATCTAGAAATGCTCCAGGTGAAGCTGGAGATATTGCCAGGGAGATAACCCTTAGCAGCTACCAACCTTCCTCCTTCTCTCAGCTTTATATCCAAAGTTCCCTGTGTAACTGGAAAGGCCACACAGGGAAGAGACCTTTCTCCACTGGAGAGCTGATTATTTTGTATTTGGCAAGAGGTTACTAGGGTTTATTTTTATTTAAAAATTTTAATTAAATTAAATTAATTAATTAATTAATTTATTTAAAAAAAAAATCTTTATTGATTTCAGAGAGAGGAAAGGAGAGGGAGAGAGAGAAATATCAGTAATGAGAGAGTCATTGATTGGCTGCCTCCTGCAAGCCCCCGACTGGGGATCGAGCCCGCAACCCGGGCATGTGCCCTGACTGGGAATCGAACTCTGATCTCCTGGATCCTAGGTCGACGCTCAACCACTGAGCCACGCCAGCAGGGCTAAAAATTTTTTAAATAATTTTTTGATTTATTGATTTGAGAGAGGAAGGGAGGGAGGGAGGAAGAGAGAAGGAGAGACATTGATTTGTTGTTCCATTTAATTATGCATTCATTGGTTGATTCTTCTATGTGCCCTGACCGGGGATTGAACCTGCAACCTTGGTGTATCAGGACGACATTCTACCCAACTGAGTTACCTGTCCAGGACAACTTGAGTTTATTTTTGACATGGCTGCTTAAGATCCCATATCTCTTGCTTTTTTTTTATGTACTGTACATGGAAATTCTCCTGGATAAATTAGCTATTAAGGATAGAGAAGCAAACACTAACATGGTCAGCAATGATGCTGATCTTATGGTTGTAAAGCAGCCCCTAGGGCAACAGATTGTTGCCCTGTTGTACTACAGTAGGAAAATTCACTTCCATGAACTTTCTAGTCCAGTTTTAAATGTCAGTACCAGCCCAGCCCCATGGCTCAGTGGTTGAGCGTTGACCTATGAACCAGGAGATCACAGTTCGATTCCTGGTCAGGGCATATGCCCAGGTTGCAGGCTCCATCCCCAGTAGGGGGCATGCAGGAGGCAGCCGATCAATGACTCTCATCATTGATGTTTCTATCTCTCTCTCCCTCTCCCTTCCTCTCTCTGAAATAAATAAAAACATATAAAATTAAATAAATAAATAAATAAATAAATAAATAAATAAATAAATAAAATAAATATCATTACCAGCTTTTGCTTGTCTCCACAGCTATACTCCCTTGCCATCCAGTGGCCAAAATCCAGGTCTACATGACCACATGGGGTTATTTCTCATATTCAAAAAAGAAAAAAGTGTTTACTGGATTCTTCTCTCTTTCCTTCCTCTCTCAGTCCCAGCAAGAGAGAGACTTTTATAGCAGAGATATTTGGTTTTTAAAAAGATGATTTTTGTGTGTGAAAATTACAGAAAATATTCTAGGGGCATGTCCTCTCACAATGAAGGAGGTGGGGAAAGCCCAAAGGCAAGTTTTCTTAAATGTCTGGTTTGAGCCCACACCTCACAACTTTAGCCTACTCCCTTAGTCCCTCCCTTGGGAAATAGGGCTTAAGACAGCACAGAGTGTGCCCTGGCTTGTGTGGCTCAATTGGTTGAGTGTAGTCCCATGTACCTAGAGTTCACTGATTCCAGTCAGAGCACATGCCTAGGTTGCGGGCTCGATCCCCAGCAGGGAACATGCAGGAGGCAGCTGATCAATGTTTCTTTCCCTCCTTCTCCCTTCCTCTTTCTCTAAAATCAATAAAAACATATTTAAAAAATATTTTAAAAAAGACAGCATAGAGTGTTAACAGAACCTGAGTTGTCAACAACCAGATTGACTTTTGCATGGGAAACTTCCCTTAAGTGCCAAGGAGACAACCTTAAATGGCAAAGTAGTTGACAGAATTAAGTTGAGGGTCCTCAAACCCAGTGCTGCATAAAAGTTGGCCAGGTATGGATATTTTTAATGGATTAAGTGAGCAACTGGGAGACTGTGGGAGAGAAAATTCAGGTACACCATTTCTGTTAGAAATACCAAGACTGAGTCAGTTTTTATCCCCTGCCAGATTTTCACCTCATGTCCTGTCTGAAGTGTTATGAATGTGGGTGCCTAGATTACTCTTCAAGACATTTCATGTTCTTTTTATTTGAGGATTAATAGATAAGAAGATGTAATAGCAGATTGTTAGCATTTTCTTATTGTTGAATCAAAATTAACTCAGTAATTTAAGAAACTGTGACGGCGAAGCAGTTTTTCTTACTGCTCACAGGCCCGCCTCTCCCTCTGCAGCCCTTCTTAGTGAAGCAAGCACACCTCTGCTGGTTGTTGCCTTTAAACTTCCTGAACTTGAGTATGGGCCATTCCCTTCCTGTCAGGAGACAGTACACAGTGGTTAGGAGACAGGAGTACACAGTGGTTATGAACATGGGCTATAAAGGCAAGCAGACCTTTCAAATGTATGCAGTGCTACTGTGAGAATTAGGCCAGTTGTGTCATCTCTCAAACCTGGTTTACCCCATTTGTAAAATGGAGACCACAAAAGTGAATACTTCAAAGGATTGTTGTAAGGTTCAAATAAAAGACATCTATGAAGAGCACACCATGCCTGGCAGGGTGAATGATCTCAAATCAGAAACCAATCTCTCCACCTTAAGGACCAAGAAAGAGAAGAGCAAACTAAACCCAAAGCTAGCAAAAGGAAGGAAATAATAAATATGAGAAAGCAAAGTAAAACCCCCAGTAAGAGTTGTCATTCTTGTAGTTATGATTAGAATTGGGCTTAGGGAGGCTGCAGAGTAGCTAGAAGTTACACTCACCTCCTTCTGGCACCAAACTGGATTTACAGCTTAATTATAAAGCAGTCAACCTGAACAACCAACTGAAGGCTAGATGAACTGAGGTATTATAACCAAGGATTTACAGAAGAAGCCACATAGAAACTGGTAAGAAGGACAGAGACACAGAAAGGGCTGGCCCCTGTGCATTGGTGTGGTGGCTAAGAAGCCAGAAAGATATCTTGGCTGCAAAACTTCCTCCCCCCAGGAGTGTGGGGTCTCAACCTCACTCAGGGATCCCCAACGCAAAGCAACAGAGACGGGAAGAGGAGCTTGCATAGCATCTGGTGGTGAAAATCAGTGGATATTCAATCCACCTGGGAGTGAAGGGAGTCTGCTAGAGACCCAGAAGACATCTTCCCAGGGTAAAGCACTCCTATTGTTATAGCATCAACAAACAACAAGTATTGTCCCAGATGTGGAGAAAAGGGAACCCTCGTGCACTGTTGGTGGGAATGCAGACTGGTGCAGCCATCGTGGAAATCAGTATAGAGTTACCTCAAAAAATTAAAAATGGAAATGTCTTTTGACCCAGTGATTCCACTTCTGGCAATATATCAAAGAGACCCAAAACACTAATTCAGAAGTATATATGCACCCCAATATTTGTTGCAGTGTTATTTACAATAGCCAAGAACTGGAACGGCCCAAGTGCCCATCAGTAGATGAGTGGATAAAAAAGCTGTGGTATATTTACACATATAGAATCTAATGAACAGAATAAACTTACGAACAAACTAGAAACAGAGGCATAGATGTATGGAACAGACTGACAACTGTCAGAGGAGACGTGGGTTGTGGGGCTGGATGAAAGAAGGTGAAGGGATTATATATATATATATATATATATATATGACACATAGACACCAACAACAGTGTGGTAACAGAGAAAGGAGGGTAGGAGTAGGTGGAGGTGGGCAAAGGGGGGACAAATGGGGACCAGAAGAGACTTTGTTTTGGGTGATGGGCACATGATACCATGTGCAGATGGTATTTTGTTGGTTTGTACACTTGAAACCTGTATGGTTTTGGGAATCAATGTCACCCAAATAAATTCAATTTAAAAAGAATGTAAATCAATTAATATTCTTATAATATGTCATTTATAGGTGATAAATGGTTATTTGGGTTAAAAACTCCACAGTTGCTAAATTATTGCTGATATTTACTAAATTATAGAAAAAAGAAACATTAATTTATTGCCCAAGATTTTTGCATGATTCCATATGTTGTTAAGAATGAAACATCTTTATTGCAAATAAAATGTGCTGTCATAATGCACACACACACACACACACACAGAGAATTGGACTTTGGATGTTTATTCCCCAAAGCCTCTTCTCAAGATCCTCCAATGGAGCCTGGTATTAATAAAGGGTTGCCTTATACACTGACCAGGAGTATCCCAGGGGCAAAATCTTGGCAAATCCTCATTGTGGCCCTTTTTTTTGGCTTTGAAAATTTGAAGTCATCTCTTCTGAGCTGGAACAGAGCCTATGACAGAAGCAAGCATTTCAGATCCATGCCAGCAAGGATTTTGTTTTGCTCATTGCTATAGGCCCTGTACCTGGAATGGGGTGTGGCATATTGTAGATACTTAGCCAGTATTTGTTAAAGATAAAATTGGGATTCTGATTCACATTAAAAGGACCATGGCAAGGACCAGTGCTTCAAATTCAAGTGTACCACGAGCTTCAAACTGGAATCAACTAGATTAGTCTGCTGAAGCCCAAGGAAAACCTAAATGATCAATTTTATCCCCATAGGAACACTAGTAAAGCAGTTATAACCAGGACTAGTTCTGTAGATTTTTTTTTTTAAATTCCAGAAATCCATCTTGACAAGATTAAGAGAAGCAACCAACACAGTCAAGATCTGATCCAGACTATTTCTAGAATGATAGGAGCAAGAATTATAGTTTGGATGCCAAGCCCAGACCATGACCCAAAGACTCACATCAACAAAAACTAGATGTCCAAAGACTGGGCCAAAAATAAAGTTTAGACTTAAATGAGATTTATAGTGAACATCAGTAGGACTATAACACCAGAATTCTGGTTTGGGTCAAATATGCAATTTGAAGTTTCTGTCTTTGTTTGAGGATTGGCAAAAGTGTGCAGCAACCCAGAATGTGAGCTAAGGCTATTGGTCTTTGGTGGGTAGAAGATTCTTTCTTGGCATGTTTTTTCACTTTGGATTCTTAGTCCTTTAACCATTAAGCAACAATAGAACACCCGTAATTTGTTTTTTGTTTGTTTTTTGTTGTTTATTTTTGTTTAAAATATTACAGATGTCCCCTTTTCTCCCCAATCACCCATTCCACTCTGTCCCCTCCCCCTCCCCAGTCCCTCTCCTCATCATTGTCGATATCCTTGGGTTGTGCATATATGCATATAAATTATTTGGTTACTCTCTCCCCTTCCACCCATCTACCCTCCTCCATCCCTCTGACATTCGTCAGTCTGATCTATGCTTCCATGTCATTGAATCTATTCTGTTCATCAGTTTATTAAGTTCTTTAGATTCCACATATAAGCGAGATCATGTGATGTTTGTCTTTCTCTGCCTGGCTTATTTCACTTAGCATAATACTCTCCAGGTCCATCCATGCTGTCTTAAAGGGTAAGAGATCCTTCTTCTTTACAGCTGCATAGTATTCCATGGTGTAAATGTCCCACAGCTTTTTTATCCACTCATCTACTGATGGGTACTTGGGCTGTTTCCAGATCTTAACTATTGTAAACTGTGCTGTTATAAGCATAGGGGTGCATATATTCCTTCTGATTAGTGTTTCAGGATTCTTAAGATATATTCCTAGAAGTGGGATCACTGGGTCAAAAGGCAGCTCCATTTTTAATTTTTTGAGGAACCTCCATACTGTTTTCCATAGAGGTTGCGGCAGTCTGCATTCCCACAAGCAGTGTACTAGGGTTCCCTGTTCTCCACATCCTCGCCAGCATGAGCCGTTTGTTGATTTGTTGATGGTATCCATTCTTACAGGGAACACCCATAATTTGGAGGGAAGTGCATAAGTTTTTAACTTTTTCCTTCTATACGCCTCCTTAACAGATCCCACCACTGCGCTCACGCCAGCCCAACATCAGCCCACCTCTTACACCATCTGACACAGTCTCTGATGATGATGAGTCACCTAAGACCCCACAAAAGAAGGATTTACTACAGAAGACATTGACGATGAAGAAGGTAAGTGTTAGCCTCATCTTAAATGGTAGACTGTGTGGGCATGGTGGTAGGTGGAGCATAAGTCAGAGGCATAGTTTCTTGAGTTTTATTTTCTCCTGCTATAGCTCAGTGCTAGGGAGATGTTTGGGAAAGGAGATACCATTCTTGGCTTTTGATTTGCATGGTGGTTTACATTTTCCGTCTAATTCTAAAAGCCAAATAATCAGTCTTCAATTTATAAGCAATGGAAGGCAGTATCTGAACAAAAAAAAAGTTTCCAGATGTTTTCAGTTATTTCAGGAAGAAAGCAATGGAGATTTTGATGGAAGTAAAGCCTTTACAGATTTAAATGCCAAAGTCTTAAAGATAAAGACATGTTATATTATTTGAGAGACACATATTCATACGAAAAAAATCATTTGACACATGAGAGGGCATGCATGTGTATTTCATACATCTAAGTTTGTCAACCAAATAATAGTCATCAACAATTGGAATATGAATGTATTGTGCCCATATCAATATTTCCATTCTCAAACTAATGTGTGGTTAATTTAGTTGGTATTGAACTTGAGGGGGTTTTTAAAGTGAAGTGGAATTTTGAACAATTAACATTGGGAACTAAAAAGTAAACTGAAAGGTAATTTATAATGAAGGCAATTGGCCAGTCAGCAAAAAACTATGTTTTGATGTTAAGATTCTGTAGAAGGAAGCAGCCTTCAGTTAGATATGTCAACCAAAAAAACAAAAACAAAAACAAAAAATTGCACAATTAAGCTGGCAGTAGGGGGATGGATGCTCACTGATTTATGGATTTAGGCTATGACTATCAGGTTTTTCTGCAGAATACCACTAAATCAGATGACATGGGACAGACAGCCTGAATTGGTGGAAGGATTGAATTAGGAACATTTTTGTTGAGGTAAAATACACGTAAAATGTAATTTTTTATATTAAAGTGTACGACCCAGTGGCTTTAAGTACATTTACAACATTGTGCAACCATCACTACTATCTAGTTCCAAAATAGTTTTGTTTCCCCCAAATGGAAGCCCCATACTTATTAAGCTGTCACTCATCCTTCCTCCCTCATCCTTCCTCCCTCCCCTCTGGATTTGTCTATTCTGCATACTTCATATAAATATAATAATACCGTATGTGGCCTTTTGTGTCTGGCTTGTCTCACTTAGCATAATGTTTTTAAGGTTCATCCATGTTATAGCACATATCAATACTTTAGTCCTTTTTTTTTTTCTTTTCAGGTCTAATAATTACTGTAATTTTATTTTATTTTACTTTTTATTTTTTTATTTTTTTAACTTTTTATAATTTTTATTTTTGTTTAAAGTATTACAGATGTCCCTT